TTGTTTTGACTGCGGCGGACTGTGTTTCCGCTGCGGTCAACCGGGGCATAAGGCGGCAGAATGCTCTGCCGCCCCTCACTGCCCAGCGTGTGCGGCGGGCAATAAGCCCGCCAATCACCAGATGGGGCAGAGAGGCTGCAAGCCTCCCCGCAGTTCTCGGCAGACGTCAGGGGCTAGCCAGTCGACCCAGGCTGCCTCCGACGTAGTACGTGCGTCGTCGTCGTCGCCCATGGAGGAGGTTGTAGAGACGATCCAGTAATGGATCAAGTCTCCAACCTCCTGGTCCAGACGAACCTGAACCACTGTGCCGCGGCGCAGGATCTCTTCCTGCAAACCATGGCACAGTGGTCGATAGGTGTTGCCGTAGTCGCGGAGCCCTATTCTGTCCCTCCCCGTCCAAACTGGATGGGTGACTGGGACGGCTCCGTGGCAGTCGTCGGTTCCACGACGGCTCATTCCCCGCCCTTGTCGCTAAGAGACAAGGGCACTGGATATGTTGCCGTCGAGTGGGGGGGGATCACCATATATGGTGTCTATTTCTCCCCCAACCGGAGTTTGAACGACTTCGAGGTTTTCCTAATCAGCTTGGAGACCTCGATACGGCGACTAGCGTCTGGGCACGTCCTTGTGCTGGGGGACTTCAACGCAAAGTCCATTGCGTGGGGTTCCCCCAGGACGGACGCCAGGGGCGAGGCCGTAGAGGAGTGGGCGGCCTCGGTGGGCCTCTGTCTTCTAAACAGAGGCTCCACCAACACGTGCGTGCGACAGCAGGGGGGGTCGATAGTGGACCTCTCGTTCGCTACCCCTGCCCTCGCCGCACGAGTAAGGAACTGGCGTGTCCTGGAAGAGGTTGAGACGCTCTCGGATCACCTGTATATCCGATTTGAGCTCTCCCGGACCCAGGACTCCAGTAGGGGTCACGTGGCGCGGCGTTTATCCCGCTTTCCGCGGTGGGCTGTTGCCAGGCTGAACCGGGACCTACTAGAGGAGGCAGCCATAATTCACTCGTGGCTGTCTCCTCAGGCTCCGACCGAGGAGGTCGACGTGGGGGCTGGCCGCTTTCGCGATGCGATTACGCATGTATGCGATGCGGCCATGCCCCGCGTTCGAGGTCGTCGGCCTCCAAGGAAGGAGGTCTACTGGTGGTCCCAGGAGCTGGCGGACCTCCGTGCGGCCTGTACACGTGCCCGGAGGTCCTACACACGCAGTCGGCGGCGTCACCGTGGAGACGGTGAGGAGGACCGGCTTCATGAGGAGTACCGGCGGGCGCGGAAAACTCTGAAGCTGGCCATTAGCCGCGCCAAAGAGGAAAAGAGACAGGAGATGCTGGAGGGTCTTAATCGTGACCCCTGGGGTCGCCCTTACCGCGCGGTGCGACAAAAGCTCCGCGCGTCGGGCCCCCCCCCTTACGGAGACTCTCCAGCCCAGCTTCCTGCGAGAAGTGGTTGAGGGCCTTTTCCCACAACGAGCGGAACACACTCCCCCGTCGATGGCCTCCCTGGCCGGAGACGACGGGGAGCACGGGGAGGACAATGTTCCGCCCGTCCGGGATTCGGAGGTAGGGGCGGCTGTTCTACGGATCCGTTCCAAGAACACCGCCCCTGGGCCAGACGGGGTACCGGCCCGAGTGCTGGCCCTGGCCCTCAACCACATGGCAGACCGCCTCGGGGAGGTGTTCGACGCTAGCTTGGCGTCGGGACGCTTCCCTGAGTGCTGGAAAAGCGGGAAGCTGGTCCTATTGAGGAAGCCGGGACGGCCAGCCGATTCGGTCGCGGCCTATAGGCCCATCGTGCTGCTGGACGAGGCGGGCAAATTGTTTGAGAGGGTTCTTTCTGCCCGCATCGTCCGGCACCTCTGCGAGGTGGGCCCCGATCTGTCGGACGCCCAGTTTGGTTTTCGGGCGGGGCGTTCGACAGTCGACGCCGTGTTGCGCCTGAGGGCCGTGACCGAAGAGGCCGTGAGCTGTGGCGGCGTGCTGTTGGCGGTGTCACTGGACATCGCCAACGCATTCAATAGTCTGCCATTTAGCTGCATCAGGGAAGCACTCCACTATCATGGGGTGCCAAAGTACCTGAGGCGGCTAGTGGCAGACTATTTAGAGGAGCGTACCGTCGTGTACGAGGACCGAGAAGGTAATTTGAGGTGTCGGCCCATGTCGTGCGGTGTTCCACAGGGGTCTGTTCTTGGACCCCTCTTGTGGAACATAGGGTACGACTGGGCCCTTCGCGCCGATTTCCCCCCTGGGCTGGGTGTAATCTGTTACGCAGACGATACCCTCGTGACAGCCCGGGGGGCAAACTTCCAAGAGGCGGCGCGCCTGGCCACAGGGGGAGTCTCCCTGGTGGTCGGGCGCATTGAGGCGCTGGGCTTACGGGTGGCCCTAGATAAGACGGAGGCCCTGTTATTCCATGGGCCCCGTCGTGGTCCACCCCCTGGCGCCTCCATCGTGGTCAACTCGGTCCTCGTACCGGTTCGGGCCCAGATGAAATATCTGGGCCTGATCCTCGACGGGAGGTGGCTCTTCGACGAGCACTTCCGACAGCTTGCTCCAAAGCTGGTCGGCGCTGCGTCTGCCCTAGGGCGACTCTTGCCCAATATGGGTGGACCCAGCGTCGCGACAAGACGGCTGTACACGGGGGTTGTCCGGTCAATGGCACTGTACGGTGCACCGGTATGGGCGGCGGCTCTGACCGCCCAGAATAGGGTACGCCTCTGGCGCCCTCAGAGGGTAATGGCGGTCAGAGCCATACGCGGTTACCGCACCGTTTCGACGGAGGTGGCATGCGCATTGGCCGGAACTCCCCCGTGGGATTTGGAGGCGGAAGTGCTCGCCGAAGTTTATCGGCGAGTGGCTGACTACCGGGCGGAGAGCGGATTTCGCCCTCCGCCCGAGGATGTGCGCGAGTGGCGCGAAGCCGCTCGCCGAGCCACGATGGCTCGTTGGTCGTTCCGGCTGGAGACTCCACGCGCTGGCTTCGCCGCCGTGGAGGCTCTCCAGCCGGTCATCGCCGAGTGGGCAGGGCGGCAGCGCGGGACCCTTTCCTTCCGACTGACGCAGGTGCTTTCCGGGCACGGTTGCTTCGGAAAGTACCTGCACACGGTCGCTAGGAGGGAACTGAGTCCCGCCTGCCACCACTGCGACTGCAGTGAGGACTCGGCCCAGCACACGCTGGCGGTCTGCCCCGCATGGGCGGCGCAGCGCCGGGCCCTCACTGCAGTCATCGGAGTGGATCTCTCGCTACCGGCCGTAGTACGCTCCATGGCCGGTAGCGACAGTTGTTTTACCGCGGTCGCAACCTTCTGCGAGGTAGTAATCTCGCGGAAGGAGGCGGCGGAGAGGGCCCGGGAGGACGACCTCCACTCGGACCCGATCCGCCGCCGGCGAACCGGGCGGCGGAGGCCCGCCTACCACAGCCTCATGCCGCCCTGAGTGTGGCCGCGGGTGGACGGGGTGGGTTTCCCCTCCACCCGCATTAGTTGGCCAGCCGCGAGGGGGCGGCGTCCGCGTGTGCCGGACGTCGCCTAAAGAGAGGAACATCTACAATGAGACGGAGCCCGCACCAGGAGCGGGCTGGCGCTAGGAGGGGTCCGGATGTCTTAACAACAGCTGTTCCCGGATCCCTCCTGTTACAGGCGCAGAGTGGCACACCGTGTGGTTTTAGTCGGTCCGAGTCCGACACACCACCCCGCCGCAAACCCCGGAGGGGTGACGGTCCGAGGGGATTTCCACACGTTAAAAAAAAAAAAAAAAAAAGGGTTTGTTTCAAGTTTTCCTTCTCTCTGCAGTGCTGTTGTCCTGCGTAGTTTGCTTCCTTAGTCGCCTCTTACGACACCCACGGGATGAATAGGGGTGGTGACACTCTGTATTCTTAATCCGTCACCACCAATCGAAAATAATAATAAATAATTAACTTTTAAGAAAGTAACACCAAACTGTAATCAACTGTAGTCTTCGTAGTAATTTAGAGGCCTTACAGAAGAATCACAAAATAAAACAAAACCATTTTTCCAAATCGGTTCATGCCATCATTGATGAAATTGTATTTATTTATGTAAAAAGATAGTAAACCAAAACCTCCTTTCTAAAGAGAGGCCTATGTCCAGCAGCGGACTATTAAAGGTTGTTGATGATTTGTTTGATGATGATTTAAAAATAATATGTAGAGTAGTACTTTATACTTATACCAAGAAAATCAATTTTCATATTGTTTTACCTTCGTAGCTTTTATTTATCATCACAAAGAAAGTAAACTAGCAAACAGCACATATGTTTCTTAATTTTCCAATAGCTATATCTAAATATTAGCATAGTGATATGTTTCAGGCATGATACCTTTTTTATAACAACATTTAGATAGTATACATCTGTGACCACGATCGGTGCAATTTAGTCCAAATATTGAAAACAAGGCATCATTCCATGGCAATACCACCGTAATATGCTACGTAGGTCTTGTACTGATTTGATTTGTTTGTTTTTAAATATATATTGTTTCTATTTTTCTGCAAGCTCCGATATTTTTTAATATGTTATTAGCATATACTATGTTTTACGGAATCATGTAGCTTTTGTATTGCTAAGTACTGGTAAGCTTTTAATTCATAATTGACACCTTATTGCAAAGCTTTTAAAACCCCTTCTTTTAAAAAGTCATGTTCAGTATATTCAACACATTGTCTTCTTTACATAGCAATATATTCATAGTTGGAACGTGCGTTGTGTTTTGCAACCCTGTCTGGAACCCTGATACTTATAGATTTTCCCGTGCATTTAAAGCCAAGAGACCAGAGAGCATCAGATCACACCAGATCCATTGAATAAACAACTTCTTTAATTCCTATGAATAACTTATTTATTTGTCTTTGTCTCTGTCCTAATTACTAATGTTTGTTTTAGTTGACTTCTGAATAAAACTTATTTAATTTCATGTCTCTACTTTTGTGTTTTCTCTGGATTTTAATCTCAAATACTTTCGTTTATGTCTTATCCATAATTATATTTAATTATCAATACGTAGTAGTTGAGGTCGATGTTCAGATAAAGTAGCTTCCACTGGGTTGAGTAGCGGAGCATGTACAGTGAGGATTCCATCACGAGACATTGATGATATTACTCTGTCAGGGTTAGTCCCTGCGGGTAACTGAAACTGTCTGTTGTATTCCCTATAAATGTTGTATTTCTCATCTTTCTCAGCGTGTTTAGCTGACACCGTAAGTACATCATCGGCTACTATGACAGTAACCTGAAAAGAAAGTTACCGTTTAATAAAAACAGTGACCACAAGCTGTACGTTACGATTCTGTTCAGTAAATTCGAAGGCAATCTTAGTTATTACAGAAAGTCTTCCTAATTTAATAAAAAAAAATTCTAGATTACCAAACGAGGGTCAGAATAGATGGTCTAAAGTATTGAGACATAAGTTAAGTAAGGTAAGGTTACGTAAGGTTTATTTCAACTACGCTAAAAGTAACTTCTACAAAATAAATCAACAGACAAGTTATAAAAATCTTCAGACTGCAAAGGACCTCTTTCGATCGTTATTACTCCACCAATATAAAAATATTAAGCAATTATTTCGTTGCTGTGCTTAATTGTTGTAGTCACTCACCATCAGAGGCCCAGTATGAGTTTATTTCAAAACAACTCGTTCTCGACGTTTGTGAAATTTGTGAAGATTTCAGTGCGAGCCAATCGCAACGCCGAACGCGGCCACCGTGACGATCGAGTTGATGTGAAATAGACTCACACTAGGCCCTCTGGTTATCCGTCTACTCGTAACATTTCAGACAGTTTAAAGTCTCACCTCTTCAGGGTCAAACTGGCTGAGATCAAACTGTAGTTTCAGTGTCCTTGATTCTCCTTCGCCTTCAACTAGTGGTGAGTTGGCTATTGAGTCCCAATCACTTTCGTTCTCATCACTTTTAGATGTCAAACCAGTTTGAACGGTCACTGTTTGATGGTAGAAGTTAGTCAACGCCTTACTAGAACAAAAAGGTATAAACTAAATCTTAGTAATTTTATGCTGTTTAACATCAGAATGGTTGATGCGTGACTACTAATAACCCAAGTGATACAAGTAACTTACTATTCTGATTTGGGATGGAATAAAATCACAACTACCTGTTATATATCATATGATTTATAAACCGCATAATCACGCCTGTGACTTATTTACTAAACTACTGTGACTTATGATTACGTTAGCGCCAGACTCGCGAAAATCGAAATCTAAAAAAAATGTAAAAAGTTCGGTTTTTTTCTTTACTTAAGTTTTGGATGGTATTTATCTTTTTCTAGGGCCAAATCCCAGTAGTGATTTATCACAGTTGAAATCACAGTGACTAAAACTAATCGTTTGTCATATGATTATGATATAAAAATAGTAATAATTTCCATCACTAATCCTGATCCAAGTGCCATATACATATTTTTAAAAAGATAGATGCACTGATCCTGCTACACAGAATCTACATAGCCGTTGCCGCCGCGTAACATCAGACGACTCGTATTCTGGTTTACCACCGAAGTGGTATAAAAAAATCTGTTCAGACGAATTTAATTACGGACCATGTGACCATGAGAAGTCTAATTTTTGTAATAATAATATTCTGGTAAATTTTGAAGTAGAACATGGAGATTGCAAGGAGTTAACAGAGTCAATAAAATTTATTTGAAAATATGTATATATTTAGAAATATTTAAGTATGTTTATCAAAAGTCTGGTTACCAAAGTACAGACTCTGACTAGTTTAGGATCAGATTGCCGTGTGTTAGATATGGAAGGTTATTATTGTTTATTATTTATTTTCTACTATCATGCTCTGAGAAAAATGTGTCATCTTAGAATCTAGGTAAAACAAATCATATCTCGGGAAATTAGGCGTTATTCGAAAGGAGTAAAAAGTGGTCAAGAAATTGAGTTTATTTATTAGAAATTGCTCGTTGATAGAAATTTGTACATGCACACAATTTTTTTTTTTAGTGTGCATGTACAAATAGTAGTGCAAAAAGGACAAAATCAGATTTAATATTTATACGCTAATTCAAAGATAGCTTCTAGAAAGAAATTATAGGTATTTACATACTGTGTGGTAATTTTATTATTAGTATAAAGAATAAATTAAATAAGACTAAGTATGTAATTAATAAATGTTGAAACTTATTAAGTGTAATTTTGTATTTTTCTTTCAGTCATAAAATAACCAGTATATTGCTAATTCCCCGAATTTTTATTTTGGTATTCATCAAAACAAGAGAAATGAGAAACTTTAAATGACAACACCGAACTGATTAAAACAGCCTTCTCCCTTGTTCTCGCTTATCTTAATCATAATTCAAAGCATTTCTCATAATATGTTGTATGTATGTCTAGCAGAAACCATCTTTATATTTTAGTAATACTGTTAAAGAATTACTTAAGCCGAGCCATTTGGGAATCCACGCGCTTCATTTCTTCCACGAATCGTTCCTTCATAAAAGCATAAGTATCATCAAACGTTGCCAGTTCTGTTAATTGAATGGGTATATTCTGTTTTATGGCAATGGCTGGGACATGCTCCTCTGTAGGCTTTGTAGTAGACATGTTGGCACACCGATTTTTCAACTACGCTAAAACTTTAAAACTGCGAGTTTAGATTTTTATATATTTTTTCGAGTTTTTATAAAAAAATGTTTTGTCTAAAAATCTTGACGATTATCTGTCTTGAAGACAGTTGTTTTTTTTTAAGTTATGAAATTTTAATCGACAGTGTCATAGAGGAATATTAAAACCATGGAGGTATAGAATAGCTTCGGAGCTCTGTTACAAAGTATCATACCAAACTTGACGGTTGACATTAATAGTAGGCTAGAATTTACTCGAGCGTGTCACATTAAGATACATGGAATACATACAAGGAATTCCTTGCACAATACATGAGTCCTGCACATAGGTGGAGGCGTCTAGGGCAGCCCGTCAGATTACTTAAAAACGAAATCGAGTGCCAAAAATACTAGAGCGTGTAAGATGAAGGTAAGTTGAGTCAATTACATACGCATTAAAGTGTATTTAAAAAAATCAGACGATTTGAGTGTGACATAAAACAGTGGGAGGGCCAAAAAAAAAGCCATGAACTTGACTTTTTTTTTATTTTGAACTAACTATGCAAGAAATCTTCTTTAAATGTACATGTATACATACTTTTTGTGCCTTTATTTTTATCACATTTTATAAAAAAAAAACAATAATTTTTAATATTATAATTAGAATTTTAAATCTGACGGGTAAAGGGAATTTTAAATCTGACGGTTAGAAAAAAATTTCTACCCGTCAGATTTAAAATACCCTGAAAAATTATCGTCAGATTTTTGGCTAGTATGAGAGGAATATCAAGCTAAACAGTCTGTATAAAATCTAACACGCTCGGGTATCGGCAAGTGGTGATTTTTCGTTTACATGAAATAATAAGGCTAAAAATCTTTTCTTTTCTTGGAATCAAGTGATTAGGTGGGACATCTGATTTCAAGTAATTACCGCTGCTCACCGACACCTGCACCTCAAAAAACCCAAATACGTTTCCACCCTATAAATGCCTGCTCCACGGAAAAGGTGGAGAGGGAGAGGGATTATAAAGGCTCCAGTTCCTTCACTCACAAGGCACTAAATTTCCAGTGTTTAAAGTCAGTCTTTTCCTTTAAAATTCATGCAAAACAAGTAAAGTTTCAACAAGAAGTCTTAGTCCTGAATTTTTAGATACAAGTTAAACTACAAGTATTTTGCTCTCTCGCTCTTTTAGAATTTAAATTCTAAATCAAGAAGACGTTTTTCCTTCGAACATGTTGCTCAAAAGACGTGTTTATATGAGAAAGGATGAAAAAATTGACCGTTTTAATACAAATTAAGATTTCAGGGCCTGATTTAAAAAAAATGTGGGTAATAGTAGAATCGTAGTTGCTGATATTATGTCTATCTTATGAGAGAAAAATCCTATAAAAGTCATTCTGAGCGAGAAAAAGAAATATGGTCGAAATTCTCGAAGCTTCGTGGTCTCGGCAACTCTCTGGTGACACCTATCCAGTATGATCCTTAAATGCTGGCTTTAAAAAAAAATTGTTCAGAAAAATGTGACGTTTATCAGTTTACCTTGAATGCGCTTGAATTGTAAATAATATAATCATAGTCGACAGTGATATAGAGGAATATCCTGTCAGCCTTTAATAGGAATATCCTGTCAGTTTGATCCTGAAATCCTGTCTTTTAATTTCACACATATTTATGAAAGTCACCACTTTGGTTTTGGGTTCTTGATTTTAATAACAAAAAAATTATTGTTTATTGGTCAGAAATCTAGTTACAAACAGATTTCCCTGGCTCCTGTACTATTAGGACCTGTCTTACAGGAGCCAGTTTTCCGACCTTTAATGGTCATTACATTTTTTATATGGATTGACTTGTCTTACATACATCAAAGAGCACAAAATTATTTCTTCTCGAAAAAGAGTAAATAATTACTGACTTACTGAAGAACATGTGTGTTTGTTCTTGTCTAAAAAGATTGTCTATTTCTAGAAAGGCACTCTTATAAAGATAAACAATAATATAATTAATTTAATCATCACCAGTTTCAGACTGCACGGATGGCGTAGTGGTTTAAGCGGTCGCCACGCCGCTTCCTACTACGCTGAGTGTTGTGGGTGCGATCCCCACATGCGACGACACTGTGTGTGATCCACATATTGTTGTTCTAAGTCTGGGTGTTCTTTGTGTCCGTTTCATGTAAGTTTGCAAAGTCCAAGTAACAGGATATATTCCTAATGCGGGAGTTGTCTTTAAAGTTTATCACATCCCATCAAGATAAAATTAAAATGATTCAATTTAAAAATTGAGACTATAAAAAGTCAATTAACCTTTGCACATCTCTAAATGTCAGTATTACCAGATGACATAATGTTCCCCTAGAGATATGGTATTTATTCGCTATGAGGGATGGACAGGGAGGGACAGATTGACAATCCCTCCCTGCTGCTATGGCGACGAAGGCCTAAACATGAGCCCCATTAATCTCGGAGCGAGGGCGTAACGAATTTGTAGGGTAACCAGAGCTTTATGAAATTATGATTTGCTTAATAGAGTATAGTGACTAAGTTAATGCATGTTTAATTAATTAAAATATATTATTGCGGTTTTTATGGAACATATAAATTTGGTTTTTCATCAGATGATCAGTGGCCACATAAAATAACTGTTTTGTAACCTGGCTGTAAAAAGCTTTGTGTACTTTTTCTTTAAGCAACTTAGTGTATTCTTCAAGAAAGAACATGCAAAGAGGTTAAGTGTGTTATGAGAGTGCTTAAACAGAAACTTTTTTAAATCGCAATGGCCTCTTTTTAGCCGACAACACGAGAAGGAGGGTTATATCTTTCATGTGTATATATTTATATTTCTTTGACACACTCTGTATGTAGCCTAAACGGCTTGATGGTTTCTGACGTTTGAAGTGTCGTTAGATTCGTGTTAATTGTGAGTGACATCGGGTAGGTATGTAAAAATTATAAAATTTTTAATCACCGGTTTTATACTTTAAGTAGGTATACATTTTGATACAGTCAGGGTTTTTCCTTTTTTTAAAATCATCTTGTTACCATAACCAGTTCACATAATAAATCATTTCTAGTTTATCAAATCACCACATACTCCTACAATAAAGCCAAATAAAGCATAAAAAGTAACAATAATATTATAATAATTACAAAGCGGGCTGGCAACCCTAAGTACCGAGGGCGCGAACGGCGCCGCCAAATTGGCGCGAAAGCTCCCTCTTTGACAGATCATTTTTTATTCTGTTCGGAAATTTGACGCTATTGTTCCACTGATTACCAGCTGGTCAGGAAGTGAATAACATATATATTTTATTTATTGGCATGATAATAAACTAATGAGTTTGAAAAAATCTGAGCAACTTATCTTTTAAAATATATATTATACAAGGGTTCAAAAGAAACCATAATGGTCTGAGGTGAGATGGTGAGTTGATTGTGTGTGTACCTAGGTAATATCTCGAAAGTTCATATGCTAAATTCCCCTGTAAATCTTGGTTTACCACTAAAACTACTTTTAATAAACTAATATTAGAAAATAACTCTTAACATTTCCTCTGACTTAGATCTGGAATTTGGAATTTGTATTTGGAAACACTATTTTAATATACGTGTGACTAAATAATATATAATAAGATTGTCGTAATATACTCGTTCGATTTTAATAGGAAAATGCCATGTTATAGACGATCAAGTGACATCAAACATCATTAATTTTCAACATTTACACAAAAAAGTTCAATACTAAAACATTTTTCAAAGGTATTAGGTACTTATCTACCAAGTTTTGAGAGGTGTCAACAAATTTTGGTACACACCTCTGTCTGTTAACTGATAATGCTCAATTTAGAATCAACTATAACAATATAGGGTAGGGATTTAATCTTCTATCGCAAATCTGCAAAGAAAGCAATAAAATTGCAATCGTAATCATATCATCTAATAACAGATAATAATATTTAAAAAATGATAGGGCCACGTCATCTCAATTAGATTTTAATCAAGAAAATACAGATAAAATAAGGGGTGCTTGTGTAGGTAGTTGCGTTTTTAATTCCAGTAAAATGTCACGTCATATCTCGAGGGAGGCAAAGGCAAACATCGTTATGCCAGCGGCCACAAAGTAGCTGTTATGTTTGGGCCGCTATGTCAATATTTTGCGGGGGTTCAGAGCTTGCTTGGAGTAAACTATGAAGGGTTATTTAGTCTTGTTATACTAAATACGTACGTAATAATATATTAATAATATATTAATAACAAAGATAACATTAATAACAACAAAAAAACTGTAATAATTTATTTAAATATTCTAGACTTCTGCTAGTAGTAGCAACTGAAGGCTTACTTAACCAAGAAAAGTAGAGTACCTACATTTTTCATGAACAAAAATATATTATACCTTCAAGATTTTTTTAAGGATTTTATGGTTTTTACAGTCTAAGTAAACTAACTAACTTTAAAAAAATATTAGTCGCTTTAAAAAAAATTTTTTAAAGCATGACTTCAGTAAAATTAAATAATGTCACCACCAACCTCACTATGTTAAGAAGGCGTGATCTCTGACGCACTAAGACTATGAGACTGACTCATATTTGTTCTTAGAACTTGAGAAAATACTGGCGTATTATGTGACCATTCAGCCGAATCAGAAACTTATATAAAAATAATTAAATCAAAGCAAATAAAACCAGAATATTAAAATAAGCCATTAATTCTTAACCTACCTTTAATACCTATCAATGTATTTTCTGAAATATTACTTACCATACGGTTCCCGCAGTTTCATCCGCCTTTCTCTCACAACCTTTCTTAAGAATTGGGCTATCAAATGGCACAATACTTCCAAAATGAAATTGGTAATTTAAAATGTTAGTGCGTTCAACTAAAATAATGAAGTCTTCGGCTTTATAAAATTACTTTTTACATCTAGATATTTTTATTGGATTGGTGTATCAGTATTTTCAATGGCATTGATTATTCGTTTTTTCATTTATCCACAATCATTGC